TCTGAGGCGTCGTGAGGAGATGCTTGTTGCCGGAGTGGATCCTATTCCGACCTCATCTATCATTCAGACTCTGAATGTATTGGGTCAGCCAACCTTGCTGCGGCGTCATCTTCGGAGGTTGGCGGTAATGACTACCTTCGTCCGCGAAGAACTGCACCGAGCAGGTATCCATGTCTACGGCAGTGCAATCTCCCCCATTCTACCAGTTTACGCAGGCCGGCCCAGTATGGCAGCAAAAATGTCTTATGCACTTAGGAAGGTCGGACTGCTCGCAACGCCAGTTTCAACTCCCGCAGTTCCCTTTTGGGAGTCCCGCGTCCGCATTTGTCTTTCAGCAGATCACGACAACGACACGGTAAATGGAATTATCGTGGCAATCGTTACGGCTGCTCGAAGTATTGGGCTAATAAGGAACACCAAATTTGAGCCCCGATCGTTCAACTACCTTGAAGAGGCACCTTCGAAGCAGGAAAAAAAGGAGGCACTACAAACGGCCGACGATATTCGACAACTCATTGACCAAGATGTGAGGAGCACAGACACAATCCACCGTGAAGCTATCCTGGATACTGGTCATGCAGCGCGTAGCAAATATGGGCTCGGCTCTGGAGGTGCGCGCTGGATCACCGGCACGTCAGAACTGCATATCCAAGCCGAGAAGCTCGTTGCAAGACTCACAGGTACTTCCCAGGCTCTTACTTACCCCGACTCATTCGTTGGTCTCATGTCGACCGTTGCAGCTCTCTGTCGTCCGGTATTGGGTTTCAAGAAGCACGTCTTTCTGGTCCCGGAGTCAGCACCCCAGGCAGCCTGGGCAGGGTTTCGCGTCGCATCCAAAAAGGGAGCTCCCAAAGTCCAACAGTACGGTAACGGCATCAACTCGCTACTCGACCATGTGCGCTCGTGTGGCCGAACGACCTATGTCACCCTTTTAGTCGATTCCGCATTCATGGGTCAGCGTGACGGTATGGTAGAGCAGTGCAATCTGATAGAGATGATTCAGAAAATACGCGGCCCGTCCGGCATGACGGTCCTCTTGTACGACAGCGCCGGGGTTGGAAGTCTATGGTCGGGCACCAAACCACGAAGCGCGTCCGCAAGTGCTGTTTCGGCCATGATGCCTAAGCTGCGAGACCATCACTTCGTTATCTATGGCTCCTTCTACACAGCGTTTGGCCTGCCGGGCGCATACCTCGCGGGCTCCCCGGTTCTGCTGAAAGAGTTGAGATACACGAGTCGCGGATACATGTTCACGACGTCGCAGCAGCCGTTCATCATGGGCATGGTTGCTGCGGAGCTGCAGCGGATGATGATGGAGGGGGGGATTGATGATGCCATGTTAAACGATGTAGATAAATGAGTCTGTACTTTCATTTTGTTATTTGTTTTGTTATTCTTGCATTTGACTGAGCTATTGGACGGGGGAGTGTGAAGTATTCGCATAGGCGGTATTACAATCAATCAATCAATCATAGTCGCCATCACCACCACCGCCGACTACTGGGTACATACACCTTATTCATTATAGTAACGTACCTGTCACACATATCACGTATATCATACATGCCGCAGACATCACGCGTATTGCCCGAGACAGTTATATCGCACAGGTCGCGCAGGGTCGCACAGGACACATATACATATGACACAGTAATCATGCACCCACCCATTCACCCATCCAACATGTATCCACGAACCTATATCTCCCTGGCTCTTTACGCCGACACCAACTCCTCCCACGGATTCGTCTCCGTAAAGCCCCCTTCGACCACGCACGTGCGGGGCACATCGTCCGCCTGGGGCAGTTCATTCCGCCACGCCCAACTGTCCACGGGTCCTGTGGAATGGTATTTCTGCCCGACGGGGCGCGACCCCGTCGCGACGTCGCGCCCGAGCATGACGCGGTCGAAGACCACCGAGACGGTCTCGGGCGCGTACGCGCTGACGGAGTGGCCGGCGTCGAGGACGCGGGTGAATGACAGGTTGGCGAACTGTTTCACCAGCCCTAGATGCTTCGCCCCGCCGCCCTGGACGGCCTCGTACCCCGCGACGGTGGCAAACTCTGCCTGGTGCGCCCACCGGGCCGCCAGGGCTGTGGCTTCCCCGCCCGTCCACGGGCAGCGGTAGTCGCGGTCGCCGAACACGAGAGCGACCTTGACGCCCTCTGTCAGGAGGGATTCGACGTTGTGGAGACCCGCTTGGCGGAAACTGTCGCCCGTGCCGACGAAGGGGGTCGGTGGCGGCAAGAGGCCGTAGACGCCCGTGATGAGTACGGAGTCGTATGTGAAGTTCAGGGGCACGCCTAGCGAGTGCTGCACGTCCGGCCGGTTCAGGTACTCGCTCACAGAGACGTAGTAGGGGCAGGGGTCGGGGGTGGGGATCGCGACGTCGAAGTCGCTTCGCTGGGTTGGGCGTTGCGTTAGTTATATCATGGATATTTATTTATAGATGTACGCTGTCGGATGGATAGGAGAGGGAGGGGGGAAGGACATGGGGGACCAAGTAAATGGAGAAGGGGAGACAAATGGAGGTGTGATATCCAACTCACATTATTGAACGCGTCAAATGCACCGAGGATGCCCTCGCAGCTCGCCGAAGCCGCCAGACACGCTTCGTTGACAGTCTCATTGTTCCCGTTGAATTGCGGGTCGCCGGCCAGCCCGAGCGAGCGACACCTCTTGATGAGGTCCAAGCAACCCTCGGGTTTCGTGATATTGTCCATGGTCTCGTTGTAGATCGCTTCAGGAATGAACCGCACGTCGTAGGTATTGTTGTATGCGAACTGCGGGTATCCCTGGATGGAGTACGCAAAGTCGATGCACCCGTTGGTGATGCCCAGGGTGTCCACCGTCAGGGCCTTGGTCTTGAGCGGGTGTTTGGCCGGGAGGGTCTTGAGCTTCTTGTTAAACAGCGAGGCGGTCTCGGGTGCCCAGAACCCGCCGTACGAGTTGCCCCAGATACTGACTTTCTTGGACGAGGTCGAGTATCCCGGGAAGGAGGACAGCCAGTGCTCGGCGGCGTGCCATAACGCTCTCGCGCTCGACACGGTCGTGTTTGTGGTGTGTAGCGGATTCTGGCTAGAGAACGTGCCGACTTGGAAAGTTGCATTCGTGGCGGGTAAAGCCGCGGAGGTGAAATCTTCTGGGGTGATGAGCAGCGTCTCGATGTCGAAGGTGCCATTGACGAGTTCGTCGTACGAGAGACCGGTCTGGACGGGCTGGTCGAGGTAGAGCATGTTGACGTGGTTGTTGAACGACCACGGATTGATCGTCGTGTCGTTGCCTGTGACGTTGACGTAGCATGGCCCACTTTCACTCGCCAACGCCGCGTATATGGAGCTTTCGCCAGGTCCCCCAGCGAGGTAGATGGCAAGCGGAGCGGTCGAAGCATTGTGTCTCGCCTCAAAATAGATGAAGTAGGTGTTTATGTCGAAGCCGCCGACGTCCGCGAGGATGGAACCAGGAAGATGGACATAACCGCTATAGGACTTGACTCCATGGGTGGTCTCGCAGATGTTGGTCTGTCACTTTTGTTAGTAGATGGATGTGACTTTTCGTATAGATACTCACTTCTTTGTAGGAGATTTTTACTTTGGGGTTGACCTTGGAGGTAATAACATCGAGCCCAGTAGGGGCAGACGGGAACTGCGCTAAAGAGATGGTAAACAGGGTAGACAGCGAGAGTGCAGTAGTGCGCTTCATCTTCGCTTTCATCCGTATCGGGGGGATTGGAGATGGCTTGTGTTCCTGCGAGCAACAAGAAATGCGCGGTCCATTTTTATATCTCCTTTGTCTTCACCGCGCTCGGGCGCCTGATATTGTATGCCAATAACTTAACTCGCAGCCTCGTTGGACACGCACTCGTCGTAAACATCCTGGGGTGCCAGACTCGAAATTTGAGGGGCGGAAACGCAGCATAGCCGTGGCGTACCTGGTATCTCGCGCAGGGAGCCGTAAAGTTAGCCAACCCCAAAAGATGGCAGTGGAAGTAATTTAAAAGGCCCTGCTTTGCCGATCGAGGTTGGTTTATACGAGTACGAGTTACTCACAGAATCTGCTGGTGCTGCTGAAGTAGTCTTGGTATGGTCTGGCTTGCTCGGTTTGATGTTATGGATCGAGGCGCAGGCTAGACAGGCATCGACCCAAAGTGGTTAGTACATACGAGCTGCACCATGTCGCTCCTGGTTGTGTAAACGAGCAGAACACAGCCGATCTGTCTGATGAAGGGGCATTAGCGTTGTATTTGAGGCGTCCAATTTTGAAGATGGGAGCTCATATACTCTGGTTCATAGGGAAGATTTTGTACTCGGTATGTGACACCACAACCTCCCGCCAAGCCATCGATATAAAACCACCACCACATAGACACGCACATTCACATCACCCTTCCTCCCCCATGATTCTCCGCTATGCCCGTGACCGTGAATTTGTGACATATAATTTAAACACCCAGAAAACCTGTCACAAATTCCCCGGTTGAAAAAAGGCGCAACGGCGATAACGAGACCTCATTAAATAATGCTACCTCCTTTGAGTAGGGGAATTTGTACAAAAAAAAGTTCAGATCGGGTTTGGTGGGCGGGGCCTTTCTCCCTCTCCTTTGATGAAATATGATATGTGCTCGCTGTTGCCTCCTCACTCCCCCTCTCAAGTTTGGGGGTGGTGAGGACGGTAGCAGATGGTCTCGCCATATCACATCAAAGAAAACAACTAGTTCCAGCGCAGCGCAGCGCAAGACAGTGGTTCCAATATGGAAACTGGATGAGGGGCGCTGGAACCTAGTTGTTGGGGGGAGAAAGGTAAGATAAGATGAGCCGATCCGATCTGAACTTTTTGCTGGTTGGAAGTATTGGTGTTCGATTCGCGTTGGCGGCAAAACATATATATACACCAAAAAAGGTCAGATTTTTTGTGTTGACTGTAAAACGCCAAGGTAGTAGGTGTGACAATCTTCACATGATATCCATTCCCGTATTCAGTCTTGTCTTCAACGAGCAAAGTTCACACGTGGCTCGATCCTTTCAGAGAGTCGAGTATCACACATGGCTTGTGAAGCGAGTCAAACCAGGAAGATATCTCCTGAGCATCCCGCTCGCGCCAGATCCGCGATAAAAAGGTCTTGGTGGCTTCTTGCACGACTGGCATAAATTGATCAACGTACTCGTCCACATCCTGCACCGCTTTGGTCCGTGCCACCGGATCTCGAATCTCGATAGCCGCAGTGATGAAAGGCAGCGTGACAAACCGGAGCGACCGTCGCGTCGTCCGTCGAGCCAGCTCGAGCTCCATCAGCACCTCACGCGACCAGATGTCTGCCTGATCGTCCTGCTGGCCAAAGGAGTGTTGGAGCCGATGGGCGAGAAGCAGAGCCGCCAATCGATACACCCTCGCTTGTGCTAGGAGGTGCACCACTTCGACGGGCGAGAACTTGTTGATGAAATTCTTTGGAGGGGATGGCTGCCATGCATTCACGGCGGCTTGAATACCGGCGAGATGCTGGTGGAATGTGGCTATGATATCGTCATTGCCGGGGCTGACCAGCGAGTGGCTGATGGCACAGAGATCGTAGTAGTATGGCAGGAGAGGGAGGCAGAGTCCCAAGTGGCGATCCACGCCGGTGGGTGATGGTGACTGGATCTTGAGTGTCGGCTTCCGGCGGTGGACCGCGCAGTCCATCACCTCGAGCAATACGAGAAAGACGAGCTGAGAATCTGTTTCAGGGGTCGATGCCATCGGCTCAATGTAGGGCTTAACAGTGCTGAGACAGTAGTGGCAGATGTCGGGTACACCCACGCCCACGGCGGTGTAGATATACATTGCCAATGCAGTTCCCAGGGTCAAACACAACGCGGCATCCTCGGGACTTGCTACTGGCAGCATACGCAATGTTCTCATGGCGGACGACGCACGGCGGAGGTTAGCGTCCACGTTCACACCAGGCGTGATGTCGGCATGAGACGCTCGCAGCCCACCTGCATAGGCGAGATAAGCATCTTTGAGTACAGGCCAAGCGGCCGGCAGCGGAGCTTCCAACGAGCGCCGTTGGGCGTCCTCAAAGCTAGGGCTGACCACGGAGAAGCGCAGGGTTTCGGGTTGGTATAGGAGATAAGACATCAGTTCCCTCTCTTCCGGGCGAAGATCAGGGACGTCCCGCAGCCAGTCACCGACGTCGTGTTGCGATAGATTGCTCGTGCTTAACTCGCTGGATATTGTTTGAGAGGCCCCGCGCTCTGGATGTTGGGACTTTCGACCCGCCTGTCGTAGCGGACGCACATTCAGGCAAATATGACCAAGCCTCTCACATCTGATACACTTGGAAGTCATGGCGGTACGCTCACACCGTTCCTTGAGTGAATAACATCGGTCACACGCAGTCCGGACTCCATGGCGCCGGGGCGTGACTGACGCCATTTTGACCTTCCAGAGTAACCCGGCAAGAGGACACCAGCAAGGGAAGAAGGGAGGGCGAGAGAGAACAGTGACTGATTCGCAATGTAACAGAAACGGGACTTTTCCACGGGTGAACACAATCAATGGCCACTAGTGCACTCGTCCTCACTATCAATCAGGGAGCAGGATTCACGAGCCTGAACAGAATCAATATTCCGGTCGCGGTTCACACGCTTATTGTTAAGAGTACTGTCTCGAAGACAACGGTAAAAGGTTGGTTTCCAAAGTTGGAAAGGGACACAACGTGGTGTCGCAGGTGGGGAGGTTCGAATAGACTGTCAAGCTCCCGATTGGCGCAACCAGCCGGGAACCCACAATCGACCGGAACGATGACCGGAGGGTTGGATAGAGGATTAGTTCTTCTCGACACGAAGTCAAAGTGAATACCCAAAGACGGAGAAACAAAAAAGCCCAGCTCTCGCGGGATACGAGTCCGATGAGAGACAATAAGGGATGCGCGAGGGGAACGTCGCACCAAAACCCTGCCCGTCGATGACAGGACTGGGAGGCCTGACCCAAGCCCTCTTCTCAGCCGCGTGGGATAGGATTATTTTTGAACCGGAACCGGCGAATTCTTAAATTGTTTGAGCACTATACGGTGTGTCTCCGCCCCAATTACTCCTAGCAAGATAAATCATGGTGTTTGGGGACAGAGTCGAGAGCTCGCAACGCAGTATAAGAGTGCCAGCCATGGACGTCTCCCATTACAGCAAAGGCAATCAACCGTCTAGTACTCTGAGAAGCAGAAGACGTGTAGAGCAACATGTCAAGCGCCCCCAAGAACTACCAAGCCATCGCGGCCGAGAAGCAGTTGGAACGGCAGTCCAAGATCCCCAAAGAATGGCTGCTACCCTCTGAACAATACCACGGGCTCACAAATCTCATGCAAGTACCGCAGACGTGTGGCATCTTGAGCGACACCGAGTACAACATCACCTCGAACTTTGACGCAACCGCCCTTCTGGAGAAACTCAAGGATGGAGTTTGGTCGGCGGAAGAGGTCACGGTGGCATTCTGCAAGAGGGCAGCCATTGCGCAGCAACTGGTTTGTCAATCCGCTCCTTCGTCTTGTGGCGTATATATTATAAAGCTCACTGGGTCGACAGACCAACTGCTTGACGGAGATTTTCTTCGACCAGGCCATCGAGAGAGCCCGTGCACTTGATCATGAACGAAAACAAATCCCCGAAAAGCCGCTGCGTCCGTTCCACGGCCTCCCGATCTCGTTGAAAGATAGCTTCCAGGTCTCTGGACATGACACATCGACAGGATTGGCATGTTTTGTCAACGAACCAGCAGAGGAAGACAGCGGGACTGCCGCCATGCTGCTTGAGTTGGGCGCCGTGCTGTACTGCAAGACCAATCTTCCACAGACGATCATGACTGGCGATAGCCATAACAATGTCTTCGGCAGGACCTTGAACCCTCGCAATACGGCATTGACGGCAGGTGGAAGCACTGGTGGTGAGGGTGCTCTCCTTGCCCTTCGAGGCAGCGTGCTCGGAGTCGGTACGGATATTGGCGGGAGTATCCGTATCCCCTCCCTCTGCAACGGCATATATGGATTCAGACCTAGTGTTGGACTGGTTCCCCATGGTGGTGTAAGGGATCTCACAACTCCTGGTACAGATGGGGTGCGCTCTTCGGCTGGACCGATGGCCACGTCACTTCGGGATGTTGCTCTTTTCCTCAAAACGACAATGTCATCACAAACCTGGCGGTATGACAGCACGGTGATATCGATACCGTGGGTGAATCTCGAGCCCAAGAAGAAGCTTCGGATAGGCGTCGTCGCCGACGATGGTATGTACACTCCTTCGCCACCGGTTCGACGTGGCCTCCAGAAAGCAGCGGACCTTCTGCGACAAAATGAGGATATTGAACTCGTACCGCTTTCCTTGCCCAATGTCAAAGACCACTATTTCGACCTGATTCGGTATTGGACGTTGCTAGGAAGCGAAGTAAGCTGCTATGTCCCATCTCTTCTTACTCGAAACTTTTGGAAGAAAAGGACTGACACGAGGTATCTCCTATCTTAAGAATTACCTCGAGCTATTCGCCCGAACTGGGGAGCCTGAAGTTCCTTCTGTCAAAGCAATCGGGATCAATACCTTCCCAGGCACCGATCTGCGGGGATTCTTTGGCCTCAATGTGCGTCGTCAAGCAGCAGCACGCGAATACCTCAGGCTCTTCCTCGACAATAGCCTCGACGCGATCCTGATGCCGCCGGCGCAGCACACAGCCGTGCCCTTGGATCAGTGGACGACGGCGACTTACACCGGCTTGTGGAATTATCTCGACTACCCGGCCGTCGTCATTCCCGTAGACACAGTGTGCGAATCCGACGTGGTGGATGAACTCAGCAATGCCCGATTTGGCGCTGAGGATGCTCGCATGTATAGTTTGTGTATGTGGAACGGTCCTTCGATTTCGAGTTGCATGACCCTGCTAACCTCTCACACCTGGCAGACACGGGACCCGAAGACTACAAAGACGCGCCTATATCTGTGCAGCTGGTTGGATACCGATATTGCGATGAAGCATTAGCCAACACCGCTGCCCGGGTTGACTCAATCATCAACGGCACAGCATGGTCAGGTTAACAGAGCCTGTTGGGCACATGGATCCACAGCTTTGATGTTTGAACCGGGAGATTTGAAGCACTGGCATCATTGTCACCTGCGAGGGAGGTTGCTTGGGGAGCCGCCATGACGGCTGGCCGCGGTTACAGTGTAATAGGTCTCGATAGATTTCACCTTGGGGCACTGGCCTGTCCAGAGAGGCAAACGGTTGGGATGTTAAAATGAAGTCAATTTGGCCAAGAGTTGCTCTATTTGCAACATACCCCCGGTGTTTCTCTCGAACCTTCGTGGTACAGGTCGGGATCCCATTCTTGTAGTCTTCGGTTAAATGTCGGATAAATTTGTGGGGCTTGGCAAGTCCCCGCCATCGTCATCCGCTGCGTCGGTGCAACTTCCAACAGGCCTCGAACATCACCAAAGTCAATTCGTTTTCAGACCACAGGCATCGCACTTCGCCAGACCCTGCGCACATCTCAAGGTATCGATACTGTCTAGGCGAACCCAAAGACACCTCTCGCTCCAAATCTCTCACTATACCCAAGTGCTCTTTGGTGAATCACCCGAACAGTTAGCCGCCGTATCCGTCAGCCAGAAACCAGACCCGCGTGCTGGTCTTGTGCGCTCTTCTTCCGATCTCGATCAATATGTCTGGCCTTGAGAAGGCTCTCTTCAACCTCAAGGTGAGTCCTCGGCATTTGGTCGATCGGCCTAGATGCTGCACGGCTGCCTCCCAACCAGCAATTGTGGGCGGATTTGCTTGCAACCAACACTCCCCATGCCAGTGTCCATAGACTGACGATACACCCATCAGTTCACTTCCAAACAACTCAATAGGCAAGCTGCCAAAGCCGACCGAGACTCCCGCGCCGAACAAGCCAAGCTCAAGAAAGCCTTGACCCAAACCCCGCCTCAACCCCAGATCGCTCGTCTCTATGCCACAAACTCGGTGCGCAATTCCCAACAGCGGATCCAGCTCCTGACATTGGCGGCTCGTATCGATGCCGTGGCCGCCCGAGTGCAAACAGCCATAACCATGCGCACCGTGACTGCCTCCATGGCTCAGACTGTCAAGGGGATGGATGCCGCATTGAAGAACATGGACTTGGAAAAGATAGGAGCTGTGATGGAGAAATTTGAATCCCAATTTGAGGATCTTGACGTTGTTACAGGCTACTACGAGGGTGTCGCAGGTGGTGTCGAGAGTCAACAGGTTGGTGTGGAAGGTCAGAGTGAGGTTGAGGCTCTGATGAGCCGGGTCGCCGACGAAGCGGGAGTGGAGCTATCACAGGAAATGCAGCAGAATGTGCCGGAGCAGGAGTTACCGGCAAATGAAACCGCAGAGAGAGCGAAACTTGAGGAGGGCTTGGGAGACAGGTTGAGGGCCTTGAGGAATTGACCCGCTGTTGGCACAATATCTTGTACGGGATGATGATTGTTTCCCGGTTTTAGTTCATGCTGGCTAGATTGCTTGAAGCGAGAGGATCAATCAGGAAAGGGATGCGGCGTTCGAGGGTACAATGTAGCTTTTCTGTCAATATACAAAAGGTTCAGCATCAGAGCCTCGTGGAGGCGTGCGTATACTTGTTTCCGATGCCCCCCTCATCTATACATATATGTACACTGAACGATGCTCGAGAGAGCCACCACAAATGAGCAACGCAGGTAAGTCAAGTCACGACTAAGGACCGCAGAATCAAGTGAGACAACAGCGGGTACATATCCCCGGAACTGCTTCATTACCTAGGTACAATGGCATTCTTCGCCATATACGGGGGAAATGCGCTCGTAGAACATGTTATGATACTTCAGACACTGAAAGGGGGTTTGTTATGAGCTGCCTTTCTCAGACACGTTTGACAACTTTGGTCACATGGCGAGTTGCTCAATGTGTCTCACCCTCTGGTGCGTGTTATGCGCCGCCCTTATCTCGGTGGCACACGTCTCTTTAAGCCGACCCTGGGCTTTGGGCTCTCGAAATCGTCCTCTATATCTGCGAAGCGGTCGTCTAAAGTACTGGCACGGATTCTGTTGCATTGTCGTTGAAACACGGGTTTCTCCTTGTCTCACGGAGACAGCCCGACCCTTCAGACCCGGCGTCTTCCTTGAAGGCGTTCTGCGCCGTGAAGTCGAGACGAGTCCAATCTGACGACCAGAGTTAGGGACAAGACAACGTCAGCGATTGCCTCCGCGAGGTCCTGACGGAATGGCTGGCGGTCTCATTGAGGGTCCGTTGAGTGCCGAAGGGGCAAACAATCCTGGAAGTATGCGAGTGCCCAAGCGAGAGTCCGAGCACGGCGTTCTGCAGTGAGATGTACCGTTATCCATTTGTCATCTATCTATCCCCCTAAACTCCCAGAACCAACTTATCGGTCAATCAATCGGGTTGGAAAGTGGATGAAGAGAGGCGGAAGACAGCACGTGCACGGACCGCGAAGCCGTCCTCGAACAAAAAACACCAGAAACCTTCATTCAGACCTGGTGACACGGACCTCGTTCGCTTATCTGCGGAACGTCATATGGCGGATTTCCTCCGCGGCCTTTATTGTGTGTTGTTACTCACTTGCATGCCTCTTGGAGAGAAAATAGGTCACAAGGACAGGGATCATGAACTGTGCCATGAACAGGGACTAGCGGCTAGGCAGTGCCACGCATGTATTGCCTCGACTTTGCATCACTTCTCTACAAGGCTATATGAGGTTGGTAAAACTCGGAGATCTCCTTCGTCAACGCCTCTCTCACTATAGATCCGCACAGCTTTGCGTACGGGTTGGTCTTGACCGCCAGCTGCCGCGCAGTCTCGTTTCCATAGCGGCCTCCCGCCCCGAGCTCACGGCTTCCAGCTTCCTCCAGATCCTCTCTCGAAAGATCTTTAAGATGTGGCACGGCGCTAAGCATCTGTCGATTGTCGTCGGACTTGCTCGCCAGAAGCAGCAGATAGCCTCTGTGTGTATGTGCAGACGCGAGCACCTTTGCGTCAAAGTCCAGAAGGGTTGCGTTTGGTCCAGTTGGAGTTGAGAGTGAAATTGCCTGGGCAAGGTCTTGAAGGATCTCAGCCACGCCGCCTGGGTTCCTAGGAAGGTCTGCGTCCCTGATGAGCATTCGCCGTGCTTGCGCCCTGTTGTTCCATGCAGAGGCGTATGAGGGTTCATTTGTGATGATTTCGGTCAATTGGGCGATTGAACGCTCGATGTCACCTCGTTGGGGCTGCTCCTGATTGATCGATCGCAATGCAAGTCGTTCCTGTTCCCGAAACCTCTTCTCCCTGCTGGGTATTCGATCATCAAGTCTGCTGCTGTTGATAGTGACAGTGCTTGATAGTGAGGCTTCTGGGTCGAATAGTGCCGACAAGACACTGGAGTCATTCGCACTCAGTCCAGAGGCTGCCATCCTGACAAGTCGTTTTTGGATAGAAGATGTTGATTGTCTGTGGGATGGTTCCTGGTCGACTTATGAGCAAGATGGTGCTTCAGTGCAAATGCGGAAGCACAACCATGCAAAGGAACTGATGCTCTCAAGTTGAGGTAAGAGCTTTACGCGTCTCACCGTTCCAACCCTGCTTTTCTTTGTCAAGGTAATGCCCATTGTTCGCTTATTCGCGGAACATGTGCCCGGAGGTGCCTTGGTGCCTTCCGTCCCCACAACTATTGAGGCACCTCAGTGTAGCATATGAGCAGTTACATAGCACATCCAACGCGTCTTGATAGCGAGTTTCTTTCCTCACTGCATGTTTCTCACTCTTCTTCCTCTTCATAAACTCCAAGTTTCACGAAAAGCAAGAACTTCAAGATGGCGCCCAGTGCTGTAGCCCCAACACCAGTGCCCATCCATGAAATCAGACCCAAATCGGTCCATAACAGCATGGACTCGATGCAGTCATTGCCAAACACATCCAAAAAGGTTGCAAGTTATCGAGGATATGACCATGTTGCGTGGTGGGTAGGAAACGCCAAACAGGCGGCAGCATTCTATGTCTCTCGGATGGGTTTTGAAAGAATTGCATACCGTGGTCTGGAGACGGGGTCGAGAGTGGTGGCCTCGCATGTTGTCCGCAACGGGGATGTTGTTTTCGTACTCAGTTCGCCGCTGCATGGGCCTGACTCCAAGGTCCCCTGGCTGTCTGACGACGATCGAGCTCTTTTGAAGGAGATGCACGATCATCTGACTACCCATGGGGACGCTGTCCGCGACGTTGCCTTTGAAGTTGACGACGTTGCTGCTGTATACGACGCTGCCGTTGCGAAGGGAGCTTATCCTGTTGCAGCACCAGCAAGCACGAGCGATGACTTTGGGACCACGAAGACAGCATCCATCAGAACATACGGAGATACCATTCATACCCTTATCGAGCGACAAAAGTATCAAGGGGCTTTCTTACCTGGTTATCGAGCCGTGACAGATGTCGACAAGACGGCCAAATACCTTCCGTTGGTCGATTTGGCCGTGATCGACCATTGCGTGGGTGAGTTTTGACATGCGGACTGCACAGTGAGCTCTCGTACTGATTTCTCCAGGGAACCAAGATTGGGACGAAATGGAGGCCGCTTGCGAGTACTATGAGAGAACACTGGGCTTTCATAGATTCTGGTCGGTGGACGACAAGGATATCTGCACCGACTATTCCGCGCTGAAGTCGGTCGTGATGGCCAGTCCGGACGAGAAGATCAAGATGCCAATTAACGAGCCTGCCAAGGGCATCCGGAAATCCCAAATAGAGGAATACATCGACTTCTATAACGGCGCAGGTGTCCAGCATATCGCGCTGAGAACCGACGACATCATCACCACAGTCACCAACCTCAAAGAGAGGGGGATCGAATTCATCAGCGTTCCAGATACTTACTACGAAACGATGTCGAAGAGGCTAGAGAGCGCCGGCATGAAGTTGAACGAAGACTTTACAGCTCTGAAGAAGCTCGGGATCCTCATCGACTTTGACGAGGGCGGGTATCTGCTGCAGCTGTTCACCAAGCACTTGATGGACAGGCCGACAGTGTTTATCGAAATCATCCAAAGGAACAACTTTTCGGGGTTCGGGGCGGGGAATTTCAAGGCTTTGTTCGAGGCCATTGAGAGGGAACAGATGGCGCGTGGTAATTTGTGATTGATAGGAAAACTAATGCCATCACAAATTGCTGCAGACGTAGTTGTTGTATGCAGAGCATGCTGATGTTGTTGTGAGATATAAATAAAGGAAGAGCGAGACAAAGAGTTGGAGCACGACAATACTTAGGCCAAAGTCGATCTCCGAGGCTGAAATGCGGAACGCCTTCCGACTTGCTGCCGTTGAACATAAACTCTGCCTCTTCTTCTATTCCACGTGTATTCAATAACATCGGGGTATGTACGTCAATGGTATCCTCTAGGGCATGAATCAGCTCAGTCCCCTTCAGGGTCGTGTTCGACAAGCCTGCGATCCGTGTAGACGCAAGAAAGTGAGATGTCCGGGCGAACAACCCAGCTGCAGTTTCTGCACGCGCCTCAACCAGCAATGCAGCTACACACGCAGAAGCAGCAGCAGCAGCGATACGCGCGGATATCGCGTCGAGAAAGACAGACCAGGTGGTAGACCAACTGTGTGATCGCTCTGCAAAGCCCTGGGGAGACCAACATAGCTCACGGTCTGCGCAGGACGATGGCCATCCCGACCGACAACGCGTCCAGAAACTGGAGGCCAGGATGGAGCAGATTGTGGACGCAGTCAAGTCTGTGAGCTCCTTTAAACAAGTTGTAATCAATTGCCATGACTGACGTTTCAGTACGCTTGTGGAGCTCCAATCGGGACAGTCGTCGGCCAGACTCCATGGGACTTCGACGCCGCAACTCAGCGCCTCGTCCATTCTGTCCCAGGAAGACATTCAACACGATGGCACGGCTCACCCTAGCGTCTCGAGATTCGATCCCGTACACCGGTTGTTCACCTTGGACCTTTGCTCAATCGGCAATGCTGACCACTGCCAGACCAGATCCTCCGCCGGACGTGCTCCAGACATTGGTCAAGCTGTACATCGACCGAATTGCAGACCAACCTCTGCCTCTCTTTGACGTCAAAAGATTGCCTTCTCGTGCGCAGAAATTCTCAAGAGGGCTTTTAAGAAGCTTTCTTGCCTTGACTGTCAGATACTCGGACAGTGATTTCTACAGCAACGGTCGATTCCGCGCCGTAGACTTCTACAAGAATTCGGCGTCAGAATTGTTGTTTGCCCAGGCCGCAGAGCCCTCTGGCGACCTGGAGACTCTGATGGCTTTCTGCCTGCTGTGCCTCAGCGAGATTGCAGGTTCGTCAAGGCGTTGTAAGGATTGTATTAAGCTAACGAAGGATCCGGCAGATGGGAAAACAACAAGAGCTTGGATGGCTCTAGGCGTGGCTGTGCGAATGGCCGTATGCTCCAACACAATGTTCAATGCCGCCACGAGTACGACAGTCTCTGCAAACTCCGAGCTGTCCAGATGTTGCTGGAGCCTGTTCATACTTGACCGAATGCACGGGAGCAGCTTTCGTTGTCTTCCGGCCATTTCTACGGAAGAGGCTATGCCTGAGATGCCCCCGGTTGCAAAACGGCCTTCATTAACTCTGCCAAACAGATTCGCGGAGTTCGAGGGCGCGGAGGAGAAGGACGCCGGTATCAACTCCTACGCTTTACAGTTATTGTCTATATGGGGTCGCTTGATGTCGTACCTCAAGACCATCAAACAGGGCAATCTTGAAGAGCCATGGGCTGCCAACTCGGTGTATCAACAGATCAAGTCGGAGATGTCTCGGTTCGAAACTGTGCTTCCGGAAGCCCACCGATTCAAGAACAACAGATTTCATGACAGGACACCTTCGGAGCTGGAAGAGCAGCGTGCATATTGGTCAGCTTGGGTCTTCACACAATGCATCTACCACACTATACATTGCACCCTGAACCACCCTTTTCTCCATATTGCTAGGATCCCCGGTCGACCACGACTCCGCTCTCCGTCGTTCCTTCAACACGCAACTGACCAAGCGGTGCTGCACTCGGCCTGGGTTGTCCTTGTTCTAAGATTATGCGAGGAAAAGCACTTTACCATTTTCGATCCATTTGTTGGTCACTTGGCCTCGATGATTACAACTGCGCAGTTCTTTTTGAAATTCTCAAAGGACGAGTCGCTGGCAGCAAGGGCCTCGAAAGACTTCGAAATGCTGAGAAGCTATGTTGAGAAAATGGCGAATACCCACAGTCACCTGCTGCACACCGTGAGTACCTCAAGTGCATCCCCTTCCTGGTGTCATTGGACTAATCCTCTGCAGGTTTCGAAGCTTTCTAGGCTTGCACAGTTCGCAACATCACACGTCTATGCGGCTTCGAATAGTCCACCAAAGGTCGAGACTGCACTATTGTGGGATCTGCTCGACTATGCAGTGTCATCGTCACCCGTTGTCGACAGCGGCGACTCCTCCGACAATGTGGAACTGAACGTGAATACTCAGTTTCTATCACCAATCAACCCAGACACACCCTTACCGCGAACAGCCCTACATAGCTCTCAAGAGCTTAGCTTGTCTGGGCCAACCATGTGGAGTGATGCAACGTTCGAATTCGACATGGCTGATATCTCGAACTTGCCTGACATGTCCCCCTTGATGACGCAAAGTGAGATCTGGACTGGGGGTCACCTGTGAAAGGTGGATGCTCCACATTTGAAAAATTCAGACCTTTGAGAGACTCGTGACTCACGTCTCATGTCTTTCCTAGCACTGGCGAGATAAAGACCGGAACGTGATTTTTCTCCGGGGTGTCGACAAGGCTGAATGTTTACGAGGCTGAGCTAGGCCAATGCCAGATCCGAAGTTCTTCCGCCTGCGCATCTTGTTCACCCCTTGAGGACAACTCAACAATTCCCAACGACTCCACGCTGGCATCTCTTACAAACCCCCGACTCCTGTATACAAAAGGACGCGTATTTCTCTGTTGCCCACAACCTTGGTCTATCGTTAAAAAACTCTCCTCTTGATATTTGGAAAGAGACGCGTCACTCCTGAAACATAAACTTGTCACAGGACACTGAGATGCCCAGCATGTGGCTCACGGATATGCAGAGTATGCGCTCCCGGACTTTCTCCCATGCTCAATTAGACGGTTTGAGGCTGACTACTCACAGAGGTTGGTGTCGCATTCTGCTCGGGAGGTAAATACATCAGCTGGATGCTCTGAAAGTCGCAAACGCTAACCGACAAAAGGTGGATTGTTCTTGTTCGGAGGTGTCCTCATGTTCTTCGATCGCTCTATGTATGTGTTCTTAGCCACAGATCCTGGACGACATGCTAACATCTTGACAGGCTAGCGATGGGAAATGTTCGTTCACCCGCCGATGCCGCAGTTACTGTACGCTGACTTGAACTCCTAGATCCTCTTCCTCATCGGCCTGACCCTTATCATCGGCATCCAAAAGACGTTTGTCTTCTTCGCCCGACGTCAAAAACTCAAAGGCACCGCTGCGTTCATGGCCGGCATACTTCTCATACTGATTCGGTGGCCACTGACTGGATTCCTGGTTGAACTCTACGGCATCTTCGTCCTCTTTGGCGACTTCTTTGCAACCATCGCATCGTTTGCCGGCAATATCCCCATTGTTGGGCCATATATCCAGATGGTACTGCAAAAGATCTCGAGCGGGCGGCGGAATGCAGAATTGCCAGTATGAAGATTGGGGACACATTTTGAGACGTCTCTATTACCTTGACAATCTCGATTGCCAAGCGGGCAGATCGGTACACGGTGGTCTCAGGAACGTCTGCTTGTGTTGACCGACAACCCATGCATCACCATCAGCGGGATCAATGCAAAAAGTTCCCTGAGAGATTGAAATGAGCCCGAATGTCCTTACATGTATGGGCTGTGCATACTCCATACTCTTCATTGAATCACCAACCTTCCCCGTCCTCGAGAAGATGAGCACTGGAAGACAGTCATAAATCTCCAGGACATTTGGCCGTTTATTGGCACCTTATACATGGATGTGTACACGCGCGGGGGTCTACGGTTGACCTTGTTGTGCAAACCTCACGTTCCGCGCACACCTATATTCTGCAGACCTGTGGGAATGCATCACCCACAATGCGACCGGCAGATGTTATCGACGGCAGCCAGAGCTCTACTGCCACACAAGCGAGATCAACAGGTGCTGCCTCCGTGACAAAGGTCCCAGACCATCAATCACGGGTTTAGTATTTGTCGCCATCACTCTACGATTGAGCGAGAGCCTCACTATGGAAGGCGGATGGTATGGGCCGAGGATTTACACGCTTCACCACAAGACGAAGTCCGAGGCAAGCGAAGTGGGCACAGGTCGTTGGGACTCTACCGAAGGCAGCTTGGAGCGAAGCATGTTCGGGGAAGTAAATAACCCCCGAGGGAGGATGGGTGTGTGCATCATTCACAGCTCACAGCCAATCCTTCTCATACGCAGCCCTGACCTCTTCATGGGTACTGGCATGGGTATGGATATGAACCTGGGCCTCAGCGCGGAGCACGATGCAAGCACATATACCTACCGCACGCCTGCAAACCTAAAATACAACAAGGCCCATCCCATCATCGCGATCCTCCTACGAGTATTCCTCCCTCGCCCATGACGTGGTTATTGGTTTATGTGTGTCTTGTTCTAAGCAGTAGCTGAAGCGTCCGTCGTCATAGCTTTCTCTCCCTCCCTCTTAAGGGCTTGGAGATCTCAATCACGTAATATAATCACAATGGACGGCGTTACTCACATGATATTTACCCCCCTCCTCCCCCCTTTTCAAGCGTCTCTATCATGTGACAGTACGATGTTTCAACGGTACTAGTCACATGATACCGAGTAATGACAATGAACGGGCGTTATCTCACGTGATGGACACGTACCGTATACCTTGTATCATATACTTAGCTCGTACACGCAGGTTCCCGTTGCTACATACATACATGTAGGGCGTAGTGTAGTATGTTTGTATGCACTTGTATGCGTTTGTATGCTCTTATATACGTTTGTATGCAGTTGAGGTATGTATGGCATGTACATAAGTACTAGGTATGTGAGTATGAGTATGGGAGCATGTACGCACCCATGTATGTATGTATGTATGTATGCTTGCCTACCTACCTACCTACGGGGTACCTGGCATGCAGGTGTCGTTTTTTCATGTCATCGTACTTGGCCGCCCACTTTTCCAGCCCTCTGTACTCAGTACTTGTCCTTGTACTTGTAGTGAAAGTGAAAGTGAAGGTGAAACGCCCCATGGAATCTTTACTGGAGCGTAATCCCATCAATCCCATCCCATGCTATTCCATGCTATCCCATGCTGTACCATGCTAGCATAACATATAGTTCCGTCCCACATTGTCACTTCTTCTCCCGGCAAAACCATGGTGGATACAGTGTCGATGAGTACAAGAGTGCACATATGTACCTGTATAACTAGTCTGAATCTCCCCCCCTTGTGTGTCTGCTCATAGCCCCTGCGAATACGAATCAATGCTCCCCCCGCCGCCACCGCTGCCTCCACCGCCAGGCCACCCGATAAAGGCGCCCAGGCCGTGGGCGTTGACGTCCGGCGCCGTCGCCAACAGGTCGTAACCCATGCCCATGCTCCAGAGCATGTCGTCCTCGGTCTGCCAGCCGCCAAACGTGCCCGCGGAGGTCGACGTGGGCTGGGAGTGCGGGGAGATGGCGTAGGGGTCGAAATTGGTGCCGCCGCTGCCGTTTGAATGTTGTTGTTGCTGCTGCTGCTGCTGTTGTTGCGCGCCACCTGTTGGGGTGAAGGGTGTCGGAGAGGTCGTGGTATGTTGTGGAGGGAGGAGGGTCGGCGTGTTGGTCTGGGACGAAACGTACAGGTCCGGCGGCTGGTTGGCATATGATTGTCCCGGAACCTGGCCAGGATGTTGCTGGGTGTAGGGCGTGTCTCTGCCACCGTTCTGTCGCGTGCCCATCGCTGCCGCTGCTGCATCGAGGGCTCCATACCCCGGGGTGCCGTTTTCCGCACCAGCAGGTCTTCCAAGCTGACCGTTCCCACCCACCAGGTTGCGCCGCAATAGTCTTTCAAAACCATCGGCCATCGCGTAAAGGATGTGGCCTTTGCCTGCCTGACAACTCCTGAACAGTTCAATGACTTTCTCAATGAGCGGCTTTGTCTTCAATTCCGGGTCGATGCTGACGCCAATCCCCGTCCATCGACTCGACATTTTGATCAGGAAGACCACCGCGAAGGCAATCACGGTGTGCAAGTAGAGCGGCACACCGACCATGGAGTCCCGAATGGAGGGCTCTTCCAGCACGATGATCAGGATCTCATGCGCCGAGGAGATGGCGTGCGATGCGAGTGGCCGCAGAGATGTGGGCAGAGTTGATGTGGAGGAAATGGTGAAGAGGGAACGACCTCGTAACGCGAGGGAGTTGAGCATCATCGATGCAAAGTGGTAGTGCAATTCGACGCCTAAGGGGGGGAAACGTAACCTGGTTAGACGGAGAAATGTAGATAGTATAGTGGCGGAAAGAAACTCACCAACAGCAGGATAATCCCCCACATGCGCATCCCTATTCAACGCATGACGAAACTGATATCTCCAGCGATGCAAATCCTCGATAAAGCGCTGATGGGTAAGAAGAGTGACATCATCCCCATCCATCAATCTCTCAGCCTCCAAGCCAAAGTGGTTGTACGCTTTGCTCAAGATAATGAACAAGGTAACCTGCGACAGCACTCTCCGATCCGAAGGCGTACATTCAGGAGCATTGAGGAAGACATCGTACTCTTTGATGGCTTGCAGTTCTGCCGTCACCGGCGGGCGGCCGTATGCGATGCTGAAGTGGTGATCGAGAACGTAGAGGAGATACCATAACCTGGCTCGCTCAAATGCATGTTCGCGGTCACTTACCGACTGCTTTTGCGAGTAGAGGGCTTTGAAAAAAGCTTGATGGAGGTTCAACTCGGTCGCCATACGCACGCAGTGGCCGGAGAGTTTCCAGCTGAGATCCGGAAGCCAGAATGCTGCGATACACAGGGCGCGGATGTCTTCGAGGGTATGGAAACGGTCGAAGAAAGAGGCGGCGATGAGGTCTCGTAGATGCTTGTGCGCAGAGGCGTGGATCTTCTCTTTGCCTGGGATATGGAGCGACGTGACGGTGATGATGGCAGTGAAGAACAGCGTCGAGGATTCGCGCACAGAGAGCAATGTGCGGGATTCGTGGACGGTGGCGTCGAACAGATAGCGCGAGAGGGTAGTCTTGAACAAGCTGAACATTTCCTCTGCTTCCTCTACGCTAATGACCCCCATAGAAATGAGGTCGTTCTCCATATTCTTCTTCGAATTACGACGTGCTGGGTCGCCATACTTAAGGCGGCTCCGCAGGGTGTTGAGTTGAGTGACCTCGTACAAGCTGCCCATAGGCGCAGGAGCAACTTCATGTGCATCTTCTTGGTTCGGCTCTCGCGAATTTTCCCGTGTGGTCTGCGCGTTGGAGTCGCCGGGAATAGGTTGTGGCGGTGGTTGCAGGTGTTGGGAGGGATGAGTGCGAGAGTAAGCTTCCAGCGGCGGCATCTTCAATCGAGAGAGAATGTCTTCGACAGCTCTGTCGAGCCTCACAATTGACGGGTGAGGGTTTTCGCCATCGTCGTCAAGACTCACTCTCATGCGTTTCGATGTAATACAATCCAAGCCCAAGCGCTGGCATCTGGAGCATCCAGCATCGCCTCGTTCCAGACTGTCGCATTTCACCTTGAGTTTGCGGCACGCCAAACAGGCCCTACCCTTGCGCGAAACATGAGGTTCCGTCGGCAGGTGATCGGCGGACCTCTTGCGACCGTGCAGAGGCGACGTGTTGATATTATTGTCATCGGCCGAGCCTGCCCACGAGGGCTGACGAGGAATGTTGCTGATGGACGGATTTGATTCCGCCGGAGCTTGTTGGGCGTGATCTTTGGTGTCGGTCATGGTCGGTCATAGGCTTCGTCCCCAGCTACACCGTAGGCAAAAACAAGAGACCACAGAGACTATCGCAGAGGGCGGCAAGTGTCGAGGACAAATAACAATATCATAGACGATCAATCGGGGGTCATGGGGTTCAGGTCATTCCATGGGCGGCGCATGGGGATCTGGACCATGGAAAGCGAGGAGCTGCGAAAGTTTGATTTCCTCCGACGGAGACAAATGCGCGAATCCCCGCTTCCCGCCTCCCGCCTTCCGCCTTGCGCTTGGCGCCACGTTGGTTTCCCCTTCTGCCCCTCTGCCCCTCAAACCCCATCATCACAGCCTCATAGCAAATAGGAATATGCGGCCATTGCCCCATTTTGTATTAGCCCCCGAGGATCAAGATGATATTAATTGAACCACATTCTCTCTTTGTCTCGTCGATAAAGCTCACCACTAAAGTGGCCAACGACAACGGGGAAAGCCGCTCGACTCTACTCGGATAAGTGATGAATTGCTGCTATAAGAATATCTGTCTGAGCCATATCTGCCGCTGCTGTCGATCTAGGGCGTCCAAGACACGCTTTACTCTCATGGAGTCCGTCCAGCTCTTCTACATGATCAAGGCCGTGCTGGCACCGCCCATGTTAGGTCAGAGACATTGCTTTTTCCTCCCAACATCTTCTCCACGCGCAGTTTGAACACCGTCCCGATTTGGATATCCCACTCCGCTTTGGTTCTTTCCAGGTCGATACCCGCAGGTCCTGCATCTTCAACAGCGAAGAATTCCGGGTTGCTATCCAGTATCGCTGCGTACAGTTCTCCTTGAGCCGCGTACAAAGAGCACACATCGTTCTTGACCCTTGAGGCCAAGACCTCCATTCGTCCATAATCTTTTTTCAGCTGGGCCATCTTTTGAGCTCCTTCTTCAGTTTCATACCCTCGCAACTTGCCCATACCACGAGGATGGTGACTGCCATGAGGACTTCGAATCGTTCTCTGCACACCTTCTTCAAGAGTTAGACGACTCTTGAACTCGAGCCAGCGGCGCCTCTTTAACTTGACTTGTTCCAGCAGCTTTTGGGCTGCGGTGTCGTGCTCTAGCCATGTGCTGGACAGATATTGGACCAGTCTGGCATCGATCAAACGGCAGTCTTTGTGCAGCAAATTGTAAGCGCTCCAGATCCAGGCATGCGTTTTGATCCATTTCTCCAACGCCGAGTTCACCACCCCGATTTTTCCAATCAGTAGTCGACAACTCTGAAGACTTCGCGATGCCATTCCGACCCCGCCCGGGACCTGCGTTGTCGGCACGCTTGCTGCGGCGTCGGTGGATTTGGGGATCAGCTCCAGATCCGGAACGACATCATAGAATCCCTTTGGGACTGGACGCTCCAACATCCTCTCCAGGAAAGGGCGCCAAAGACTCGACACACGCTTTCCTGGGTAAACTAGGTTTGCATCTTCTTCCCAGTCTGTAAATTCCCCTGGTATTGCCAGGAAGTACATCATCTTCCGCTAGTTCCAGGTCCCAAAGCTTTGGTTCAATGGTATTTATCTTCTACCAAACGAGACTTCCTGCGATGTCCAACCCGCCGAGAATTTGGTGAACAGTTGTGGCGTGGGTGAGGGATCGGAAAATGTAGCCAATGCGGAGCGAGGTGAGGATCAGTAACCAAAACTTCTATCT